GTTTTTACTATTACCAAACTAAATTTAACTCAAATTTTAATAAAAATTAATCAAATTTATTTCGGAATTAAAAGAATTTCCGTTGGAAATTATAAAAATTGTTAAATTTATAGCAAAAACTTGAAAAATTTTAAAGAAAGTATAGTGAAAATTACAATATTTGGCATATTTTTCTGACAATTTTTACTATTTGAAAAATAAATTTTTCTCTTCCTAAAGTAAATTTTAATACAAAATTAGTGACATTTACTTTAAAATTAGTAAAATTTATTTCGGAATGCGTAAAATTCTGCCAATAGTAAAAATTATTTAAAAAGGGCAGAAATTTCAGAAATTAAAAATTTTACTACAAAAGTATAGTGAAAGTTACTTTATTCGGCGCGAAGTTTGTGTTCATTTTCACTATTTCCAACCTTTAATTTTACTATTTCTGACGCAAACTTATTTTAATTTATTTCTGAATTAGAATAATTTACTTTCGAAATTGTAAAAATTGTTAAATTTACAGCAAAAAATAGTGCAAAATTTTTAATTTTACTATAAAAGTATAGTAACGGTTACAATATTTTACTATTTTCGTAAACAATTTTAGTAAAATTTGTAAAATTTACTCTGGAAATAGTAAAAAAATTCCACTCAATTCAGAAGTTAGAAAATTTTATTTTACTGTAAAAATATAAAAAAAATTTCTTTCTTTCATTTTTTTCCGTTTATAGTAAAACCTAAAACTTTTTGCGCATTTCTGTCAATATTTACCATTTCCAGTCTGTAATTTTTTATTCCTTAGGTAAATTCTAACAAAAATTTCGTAAAATTTATTTCGAAATTAGTAAAATTTACACTTTTGAAATAGTAAATGTTTTTAAAAATGCGTTAAAATTCAACATATTCTATGTTTTACAAAAATTAATAGAAATGCGCCGAATTTGAAAAAAAAGTTGAATTTTACTTCAAAAGTATAGTAAAAATTACTTTCTTCATTTTTTCCGTCATTTTTTATACTAAATCAAACTATCTGCAATTTCTGACCACTTTTGATATCAATTTTTATTATTTTTAGAGTTAATTTTACTGCCTCCAAAGCAAATTTTAGTAAAAATTAGTAAACTATCCTTTGGCGATATAGTAAAATCTCTGAAATTAGTAAAAATCGAAGCAAACGTGCGCAGAAATTTTCGAAAGTTTAGTTTTTACTATTCAATTTCAAGTATAGGAAAAATTACTTTATTCTGTCCCAATTAGTAAAATTGTGCTACGAACGTCGTAAAATTTACATTATTAATCTATTGTTATAGTAAAAATTGACACAGAAATTGCGTAGAAATCTAAGACACTAAATTTTACTTTTATAAAAAGTATAGCAATTTTTTTTTATAAAAGTATAGTAAAAGTTGCATTCATGCGCGTTTCTAAGTCAATTTTTTACTATTTAAAAAATAAATTTTAAAACCGTCCTCAGTAAATTTCGGCAAAAATTAAAAATTTAATGTCAAATAGAAAATTGTATGAATGGTATTTTTTAAATAGTTTTTTATAATGAACGAACAAAAAAAATCAACTCATCATCGGCAGAAGAGTTCAATAATCGTGAATACTTCCAAGCAGATAGTTATTTACTCAAAATAATTATTATAATATCTTCAAATATTGATCGTGAAAGGATTGACACACTTCTACACACAGTATTATTATTTTTTTTAAAGTTATAATATAATTAACAGGCCACAAAGCTTAACATATATTTTAAATACCTTTCTAGAGTGAATTTTTAATTACAATTATTATTATTATTATTAATTTTATTATACAATATTTAAAGGAGAAATAATTTTTATTCCGCGATATGTTTTTTTTATATATATTATATTGCATGTTGCATGTTTGATGTTCTGAATTATATAATACGCAAGTTTGCGCAGCTTAATGCACGCACACGCGCGTTTTTCATTTTCTTACTTAAAGCATCAAGCATATACGTCAAAAGTGTCAGGCAAAAGCTAAAGAGCACAATAGAAATATAATGATAAAACAGCACATGTTGACTGTTTATGTTTCCACCATGTAGGTCGACAAGTTTATTTACCACGCAGGTAAATAATTTTTTTTTTTTTCATTTAATTACTTTTTTATTATTTTTTTTTACTAATGATGATACATTATGATAATGTGCTCGATGCATTTTGGTAAGAGTTTTTTTTTAATTGTTGATAAAATTGATAATAAGAAACGTTTCGTTTGTAATTGAATAACCAAGTTTTGAATAATAATTCTAGAAAATCATTTCCACTTCTTTTCACTCTTTTACTTAATGTATGATAATTTTCGTACAGGAAAAACTTTTTTATCCTTTCACAAAGTTTACTCGTTTTGAAATTTTTAATTAGACAAAAATATAACAAAGTTGACACTTTTCAATATTTTTTCCATCATTAAATATAAAATTGAACATTTTTTAAATATTTTTTTAATTAAAAAAAAAATACACAAAAATTATTACTCTTATAATTTTTTCTTTTATTTCCATAAAACTGGAGATCATGAGAAACTAATTTTTGAAAAGGAAAATATTAAACAGACCATTAATGTTAATTTTTAATATCTGTTCTTAAGATTCAAAACAATCTAACAGTATACAAAATTTCTAAAAATTAAAAAAATTTACTAAAATTTCTAAAAATAGAAAATAAATACAAAAAATACCATAAAAAATATTGGAAAAATTCCAAAACTTAATTTTTCAATTAAAAACAAAACGTGACTATTATTAATTTTCATTTTAGGTAAAATTGAAATGTGTGTGAAGTAATAAATACAAAATTAAGCTCAGGCAAAGCAAATTAATACTATTTGATAGAACTTTTCTAAATAGATTTTTTCATAAAAACCTTAAGTTTATATTTCTTTATAAAGTTGTTTAGATTTTATCAATTTTTGTCTTCTTGTAAAATTTATAAAATATCTATTTACTTTTTTTTTTTACTATTTATCTTTTTATTAATTATTAATTATAAATAATTAATAATACAATTCTTCACTTTTGAAGAATTTTATCAAAAAACTTTCAATACGAATTAGTTACTTTCGACTAATTTGTACTTTTAACAAAATAGTGATTATTTAAAGAAAAAAGAAATAAAGTAATTTTTACCACACTTTTAAAGTAAAATTTAAACTTTCTACAAATTCGACGCATTTCCAATAATTTTTATATAATTTCCAAAGTACAAATTTGACTAATTCTGAAAAAATTCCACTAATTTTTACTATAATTTCTTTCATGAATAGAAAAATTTAGTCTCGAGATAGTAAAAATCAAACTAAGAAATTTTGCCAAGAAAAAGGGAACTTGTACCATACTTGAATAGTAAAACATACAATTTTTGTAATTTTAACAAATTTTTAAAAATTTTTACTGTTTTCAAAGTGTAAATTTTACCAATTTCGAAATAAATTTTACTAAATTTTTGTTATTGTAAATTTTATTATAAAAAAAACAAGGAAAAAAATGAGAGAAAGAAATTGAGTGAAATTTTTTACTATTTCCAGAGTAAATTTTACAAATTTTACTAAAATTGTTTATCGAAATAGTAAAATTTAATGTGGAAATAGTAAAAATTGACAGAGAATTGCGCAGAATATTTTAACGGTTACTATACTTTTATAGCAAAATTAAAAATTTTTCACTATTTTTTGCTGCAAATTTAACAATTTTTACAATTTCGAAAGTAAATTATTCTAATTCCGAAAGAAATTGAAATTCATAGTGAAAATTGACACAAACTTTGCGCCGAATAAAGTAACTGTCACTATACTTTTGTAGTAAAATTTTTAATTTCCGAAATTTCTGCCCTTTTTAAACAATTTTTACTATTGTCAGAATTTTACGAATTCCGAAATAAATTTTACTAATTTTAAAGTAAATTTCACTAATTTGTATTAAAATTTACTTCAGAAGGAGAAAAATTAATTTTTCAAATAGTAAAAATTGTCAGAGAAATTGATAGAAAAATATGCAAAATATTGTAATTTTCACTATACTTTCTTTAAAATTTTTCAAGTTTTTGCTATAAATTTAACAATTTTTACAATTTCCAAAGAAAATTTTTCTAATTTCGAAATAAATTTGATTGATTTTTATTAGAATTTGAGTTAAAAATTGTAAAATTTAGTTTGGCAAAAGTAAAAATTGACATGGAAATTTGCGCAGAATAAAGAAATTTTTACTATATTTTTATGGTAAAATTTACAATAATAGAAATTTTTGATCAATTTTTCCGTCATTTGTTACTATTTTCAAAGCAAAAATTTCTCTATTACGAAATAAATTTCAAAGTAGATTTCACTAATTTTTATTAAAGTTTACTTTGGGAGTAGAAAAGTTTATTTTTCAAATAGTGAAAATTGTCAGAGAATTGTGCAAAATAATGTAACATTTACTATACTTTTCATAGTAAAATTTACAGTGTTTAAAATTTCTCCTCAATCTTTATGTCAAATTTTTACTATATTAGCGTAGTAAATTTTACAAATTTCATAGCGTATTTTATTAATTTTAAATAAAAATGAATAAATAATTTTGGAAATAGTAGAATTTACTTTAAAAATAGTCAAAATTTACTTCGAAAATAGTCAAAATTTGTAAAAATTCCCAGACATTTCAGAATTAAAAAATTTAATTATAAAACTGCAGTGAAAGTTTCATAGAAATAGATAAATATTTAAATAGACAAATAAACAGATTAATAAATAAAGAAATAAATGGATACAAGAATAAAAAAGATACACAAATAAAAAGATAAATAATCAAGTAAATAGATAAATTAATAAATCACAATATAAAAAAAATTTGAAAAAAAATTACGATCACAAGTAGTAAAATTATATTTGTAATCTTTAAATTAAAATCAAATGGAGAGCATCTGCTTGCTTGTTTGGTAGTAGTTATAGTCATCGTTTCCTATTTCTTTATGAATAAAAATTTGGATTTAATATTTTAACAGGTGCAGCAGCCAATCTCCGCAAGGAAGTTATTAGAAACAAGATCAGGGCCATTGGAAAGATGGCGCGTGTCTTCTCCGTTCTCAGGTCAGTGTGAATGTGAATTGCAAAACAACTGGCATATTATTTAAACTCATATACCAAGTATAAGCTGATTCTTTTGAGGTCTGATTATTCTTTTAAGTGACAACATCTATCCTATATATATACTCTATACGAATTGTATTAGAATCTCTAGCCATGAACTTTACACCCAGAATTTTAACGAGATTTTCTCTCTATACCATATTTATATATACGTATATATCGTTTCAAGGACAAAAGAATGAAAAATTAAACAAATTTTCAAAATTACAGTGAAAAAAACTTGGCTTTTAAATACATATATTAAATATATTTAAAAAAAAATCAAATTTTAATGAGAAGAAAATTTAAATTTATTAAAAATTTAATTATAAATTTTATGTTTTTAATCATTTTTTTTTTTTGTGTAAATAATTTCTGTGAGGAAATTTTTATTTACGATTGGATGAAATTCATTTTCAGGGAAGAAAGCGAGAGTGTTTTGCAGCTTAAAGGGCTTACACCGACAGGATCTCTACCACTTGGCGCTTTATCTGGAGGAAAGACATCTTTGAAAAATGGTAAATTTTTTATTTTATTAGGAAATTAAGGCCATGCGGAAAAAGGTAACCCTTCCCCTAAACCCACGAATAAAAATGAATTCCCTTGTGTCGTCTCACTCTTAAATAAGTTAAGATTTTTTCGGAGAAAATTCCACTTAAATATAAAAAGGTTACCATAGCTGATATAGTAGGTGAAATACTAACAGTAAAATGTTCGAATGATGTTTAAAGAATTTTACAATCTTGGGAAAGAAAAGAAATTTTAAAAAAAATTCAGATTAATAGGTAATAATAGGTTAGTAGGTATTAATAGGTTAGCAGCTACTAATATATTAATAGGTATTAGTAGGTTCAGAGCTACTGAAATGTTAAAAGGTTAGTAGGTTAATGACTATTAACTACTACTATCTACTAGGTTGAAAGCTACTTAAAGGTTAAAAGGTTAATAGGTTAATAACTATTAACTACTACAACTACTACTACTACTATCTACTAGATTAAAAGCTACTAAAAGGTTAATAGGTTAATAATCATTAAATACTACTATTACTATCTACTAGATTAATAGCTACTAATAGGTAAAATACTAACTGTAAAATGTCCCAATGATGTTTAATACATTTTACAATATTAAGAAAGAAAGAATTTTAAAATAATTTTTAAGAGTAGATGTTAAAGATTAATAAGTATTAATATAATAGGTAAACTACTAACTGTAAAATGTCCCAATGATGTTTAATACATTTTACAATTTTAGGAAAATTAGAGTTGCAAATGTCTAAATGATATATTAGTAGGTTAACAGCTACTAAAAAGTTAATAGGTACTATTTACTAGGTTAAAATCTACTAAAGGTTAATAACTATTTACTACTAGTACAACTACTACTACTATTTACTAGGTTAAAAGCTACTGAAAGGTTAAAAGGGTAATATCTATTTACTACTATTACAACTACTACTATTTAAAAGTAGTAGGTTAAAAGTTACTGAAAGGTTAATAGGTTAATAACTATTTACTACTACTACTACTACTACTACTATTACTACAACTACTATTTACTAGGTTAAAAGCTACTAGAAGGTTAATAGGTTAATATCTATTTACTACTATTACAACTACTACTATTTAAAAGTAGTAGGTTAAAAGTTACTGAAAGGTTAATAGGTTAATAACTATTTACTACTACTACTACTACTATTACTACAACTACTATTTACTAGGTTAAAAGCTACTAGAAGGTTAATAGGTTAATATCTATTTACTACTATTACAACTACTACTATTTAAAAGTAGTAGGTTAAAAGCTACTGAAAGGTTAATAGGTTAATAACTATTTACTACTACTACTACTACAACTACTATTTACTAGGTTAAAAGCTACTAGAAGGTTAATAGGTTAATAATTATTAAATACTACTATTACTATCTACTAGGTTAATAGCTACTAATAGGTAAAATACTAACTGTAAAATGTCCCAATGATGTTTAATACATTTTACAATATTAAGAAAATAAGAAAAATTAAAATAATTTTAATTAATAGGTGTTAATAGATTAATAAGTGTTAATATAGGTAAACTACTAACTGTAAAATGTCCCAATAATTTTTAATACATTTTACAATCATGAGAAAAAGAAACAAACTAGAAGATAGAAGAGAAAGATGAATAACAAGAAAGAAAAGAAAATAGGAGAAAAAAAAATAATTATAATTTTTAATATGAGTATCGAGAAGTTAATGGCTACTAACAATAGTTTGATAAGAATTAGTAGGTAAACTACAAATTGTATAATGTCCCAATAATGTTTAATACATTTTACAATTTTAAGAAAATTTGAGTTTTAAAATAATTTCAATGATAAGGTATTAGTAGGTAAAGAAAGTATTAATTTTGATAAACTACGAAATACGAACTGTAAATGTCTAAACAATGTATTAGTAGGTTTACAGCTACTAAAAGGTTAATAGGTTAATAAATATTTACTACTACAACTACTACTACTACTACTATTTACTAGGTTAAAAGCTACTAAAAGGTTAATAGGTTAATAACTATTAACTATTATTACTATCTACTAAAAGGTTAATAGGTTAATAAATATTTACTACTACAACTACTACTACTACTACTATTTACTAGGTTAAAAGCTACTAAAAGGTTAATAGGTTAATAACTATTAACTATTATTACTATCTACTAGATTAAATGCTACTATCTACTACTATTTACTACTATCTACTATCTACTACTATCTACTAGGTTGATAGCTAATAATAGGTAAAATACTAACTGTCGATTCTAAGTAACGTACGACACTACTTTTTCTCCCACATGACCTTAAATTCCTATTTGAAAATAAATTCAAATATTTTCAATCCTACTATTTGATTCTATAAGTTTTCATAAAGAGATTTGAAGACTGTGTCTGTTACTAAAAACAAAATAAGATTTAAAATAATAATAATAAAAAAAAAACGTTTCTGTATTGTGATTTCTTATAGCGCTGCAAGGCTTCTCGCCGAATCACAAGATTACCTCATTCGCTGAAGCTAAAGGGCTAGATGCAATAAACGAAAGAATGCCACCCCGAAGGGATGCCCCTCCAACGCCAGCCATCGAGGAAAGACCGGTAGAAAATTCACCCGCTGACGCTGGAGAAAGGCGGGACCATAACGGTCCACAGCAACAATCGTGAGCCTCGTCCAAACGAGGTTCGTAAATACATATTTTTTTTTTAATTCAAAAAAACTTTTTTTTTTTTTTTTGCCATAAAGAAAAAAATTTGCAAATATTTGCAATATAGATAAATTTCAATGTTTAAAGTAGTAAAAAGAAAGCATTTTTTGTAAGCAAAACATTTTTCAATAAAAAATATTTTCTTGAAACAAATATAGCATTTCGAAAATTTTTATTTGAGTACAAAATTTTAATTTTCAAAATGTTGTAATTATCACGTTTCTTAAAATTATGATCTGCTAGTCAATTTTAAAACCCGGGATCGTGTTCAGAGGGCAAAAATACATTTAAAACGACTCCCATATCAAAAATAGTCAAAAAAATAGAGGATTTTGAAAAAAGTAGGGGTAAACAATTTTTTTTGACTATTTTTGATATGGTAGTCGTTTTCAATGTATTACAGCCCTTTGAACACGATCCCGGAGTTCAAAATTGACTAGCAGGTCATAATTTTGAGAAAAGTGGGGATAAAGGCAAAAAAAGGGTTTTTTCGGGTTTTGAAAATATATTTTCTCTTATACCTAACGTGCTAGAGACATACTTGGGATCTTAAATTAAAAATTGAAACGTGCTCTTTAGGTCCAATTTACACAAGACCAAAAAAATTGAAAATTTTGAAAAAAGTGGGGGTAACAAATTTTTTTTTGGCATTTTTGACATGGGAGTCGTTTTCAATGTATTTTTGTCCTCTGAACACTATCCGGGGTTCTAAAATTGCCTAGCACGGAAGGATTTTGAGAAAAGTGGGGGGTAACACAAAAAAAAACTTGTTTTGACAAGTACCATAAGTACATTATAAGCATATAACAATAAGTTCACTAAAAAAAATAAGAATTAGGAACTCAGATGGTCCGTAACTTTATTTATGGCATTATTTAATATGAAAATTTAAATCATAGAATAAAATTTTCGAAAATACATTGTTTCAGAATACAAAAATCGGACATAGATCCACGAGAGCGCTCGCCATAGGTAATAACCACATAAACCAATGCTCGTCTCTACCCGGATGTTAGACTCTAGCGCAAAACCCACCAAGTCAACAAACATCGTCGAAAGTCAAGAGTGAGCAAAAGTCATCATTATCATCAAAATGAAAAGAAAAAGGAAAAAAAACATCACAAGACGCATAATATATACATAAACATATGCGAAGCATAAACGTAGGAAAAAAAAAAGAAAAAGCGTACGTGTAAAATGGATAGTATTGTCTACTATCTATCCATCATCTATTCTCATCCTTAAAACATTAATATCGTGAATGTGCTTTCCTGATTTTACCCACAAAAAAAAATGCTACGAAGAAGAAAAAACAAAATCATTTACTTTAGTAAAAATTTGTTTTTTTTTTTTTACTTATTCGCAGATATTTTGATTCTATAAATTATACTTTTAAAATAAAATTTCATTTTCAAAATAGTACTTTCAAAATAAAACTTTAAAAATATTTTTAAAATAAAGAAATTTGATTGAAATTTTTATTTTGAAAATAAAGAAAACAAAATATTTCTTTTTAATGCGATCAAATTTTTAGATGAAGAGAAAAAGTAACGAAAAATAATTGAAAATTTTCGATCATCATGTTCTCGCATTTATGATTTAATGCACTTTTTTCACTTTCTTCTTCATTTTTTTTTTCTTTTATTATCATTTTTTGCAAATTGTATAGCATTGTTTGCAAAGAATGCGAATAAGTGCGTTAACTCATGAATGCATTCACGTGATCTTTTTTTATCTTCATTCACATTTTTTCGTCCGCAAAATTAGAGAGAAAAAATTCATCATCTTTCTAAAAATATTCTCTTTAATAAAATTCACCAATAAAAAAAGAAATTTCATCTAGAAATTGCTAATCTAGAAATTTTGCTAAAACTACTTTAGCAAAAATTTGTCAGCCAAATAAATTTATTTGCTCAAATTAATTAATTACTTTCTAATTTCTACTCGAAAAGTAAATAATTTTGGACTTTGTTTTCTTTTTCCAAAAAAAAGGAATAGAAAAATGGGTAAATTTTCAGAAAAGTATAATCATGAGAAAATTGAGCCAAGTAGCTATTTGATGATCTTCGCCATTTAAAAAAAAAAATAAAAAAAAAGAGAGAGAGAGAGAGTGAAAAAAGCAGCTGGTCTGCTAGAAAGAGTATTGGCGAAGCTTCCGATTTATAATTTCTAGAATTCTTAATTCCGCCCTAGGTTGATGGTGCAAGGGCATCGTCACGGCCAAGGGTGATTAATTAAAACTTTTAACTTTTTAAGTCAAATTAAGTCTAGTTAATAAGTCGTGTAAGTTATGTCTGCAAAATTTATTTAAATATCATCATCTCGTAAATAAAAAAAAACAAACATAATTTTATAAAATATAAAATATTCATAACATATAAATATTATAAATACATTACACAAAAAAGATATTAAAAAAAAAGAAAAAAAAATATGAGCGCACATGACCTACGCGTTGCGAGTGGGTCATCTTTTGAAAAAATGATAGCATCACGTCTAGCGCATAGCCTTTCTCTCAAAGTTGCAAGATCACTGCATCAACCAATTTTTCCAAAAATAATAATATTTCGTTAATAATAATAATTTATTTATTTACAGTAAACAAACTTTAAATAAATAAATAAATAATAATAATATTAGATAGTTCACTTTATTATTTTATTATAATAATATTATTGTATAATTTATACATAATATTATTTATAATTATAGTATTTTTTTTTAATTATTCTAATTATTATATTATTATTATTATAATTATTATAACTACGATATTATTATTTACACGAAAAGTGCTCGTGCACTGATTTGACAACTTACTTTTTTAGATAAAAAAACTATTTCAGTATTGAATTGTCAAATCAAAAAAAAAAAAAAAGGAAATTTAATTTCTCTTTTTGCAGACTGCGTCAAATTTTTGGTGTGTCTATAAATGTTATATACTTCTATTTAATACTGCAATTGGATTAAAACAAAAAATAACAATTCAATCACAGTGTAAAAATTAAATTGACTATCAGTCCTTTTTATAATCTCTTACGTGGAATTTATATAGAAAAAAAAATTTACCGAAACTTCATATATAAATATTGCATGTCTTTAAATTTATTATATTATCAAAATAAATAAAAAAAATTCAAATTTTTCACAACTACTGATTTTTGAAAAAAAAATCTATTGAAAAGAAAATTTTTTTCTATTTCGAAAATTTCTAGCATTGAAATTCAAAAAATAATGACAGTATTTTTCTTGATCGCTTTTTAGAAATTTTTATAGAAATCGCAATATTAAATGAAATGATGACACGTAAATTACTTTATTCTCGAAATATTTTCTTTTGTGCACAAGAAAAAAAGGATAGTTTACTGAATTTTTTTTCTTTTTTTAAATAAATAGACTGTTAATTGTCTCTCAATCTTGTATACGATTTTTTTTTATTACTGGAAAGCGGTTCACTTTTTGATATCAATAAACTAGTAATACTTTTATATGAAAGATCGTATTAATCAAAAAAAAAAAAAAAAAAAAAAAAAAAAAAATACTAAGAATTTACCAGCTTTGTATTAGCAAAACTAATACTTCGATCTCCGTATTGATAAGAAACGGACTTTTCTTCACTATATAAACGCAAAACTTTTCGAAGCGCCAAAAAAAAAAATTACTTTATACTTTTATAAAAATGAAAACAAAAAAAAAACTCGTGCGAAAATTTTAAAATCTGAAAAACACCAGCAAAAACTTGAAATAAAAATCAAGTTCCTTCGTTCCAAATACTTGAACGATAAGATTTTTCTTTAATTCTAATTTTCCACTGTAATTAAAAATATTTTTTTTTAAAAATACCTTTTTTTGAAAATTTTTTTCTCTTTCCTCTCTTCAATTATTTTTTTCAAACTAATCTCGATTCAATCCGAGCAATTCTAAATCTATTGGCTTGACCAACGGAAAACAGTGCTTTGCCAATAGTCAAAAAAATAAAATCTTTGTCGAATTTAATCAAGTACGCAGTTTTTAAATAAATATACATATATAAATAAATGAATATAAATAAATATATATATATATATATATTATAAATATATAAATATAAGTATAGGATACTATACAAAAATTATAGAAAATTCCGCATATGGCGGCGCGCTGGACGATAGCTACGAAAGAATCTCAAAAAGAAAAACAAATTCTTAAAATTACTCTTTCAGTTTTAAAGTATTTCACAAATAAAAAAAAATAAATAAAATAAATACTTCGTTTTGAATCAAAATTAATTTGAAATTTTACCTTAAATCAGTGAAAAAATTTTTGACTTTAAATCAGTAAGAATTTGAATTTAAAAAAAAATTTTCAACTAAAATTGATTTTTAAAAATCGATTCTTGCTAAAAAATTGTTTTTCTACTGACAAGAAAATTTTAACTAATTTAAAAAAAAATCAATCACTGATACAAAGTAAAGTTAAAATTTTGTCAAATTCAAATTTAAACAGTAATTTTCAATGAAATTTAAAAATCCATTATTATATGTAATTTTTGGCATAGAAAAAAAATTCGTCAACAAGAAAACCAAAGTATATAAACAATTAAAAAAAAAGGAAAACGCTTTTTAAAAAAATGGATAAAAAATAATTTTTTTCACTTTATTTCACCATTTTTTTTTATAATTTGCAAAATTGAAAGTAAAATATATAATAATATAGAGCAAATATATTTTTTTAATAAAAGAAAAAAAATTTAAATCACTAGTAATCAAATTTTTTTTTCTAATAAAATTGAAATTTTGTTCGGTATTCAAAATACCACAAATTTTGAACAAAATACCAATATTTCAAAATATTCAAATTTACTAAAAAATCATTTTTCTATAATGAATAAAATGAATAAAATAAATAATTATTCCTCTATCATATTAATTTGCTCCAAAAAAAAATCTTTCTTTCTTTTATAAAAACCGAAAAGATGTCCAAAAGGAAAGAAAAA